CGAATGTATGTCTTTATTTTGAAATGTGTATTTATAAGAATGACTAGGATAATACATTTATGGGTTCTATCCTCCCTTGTGACTTACATATTTCATATTGATGCACAATCTTGTTGGTCAATTAATTCCATTGTTATATTTTATTTTATATTAAACGTTTCTTCAAATATTGGTTTGTTTTAGTCGTCACAATGTCCACTCGGACCAATACGGACCCCATTAGTATTTCTTCTCCTGTTTCTTCGCCGGCTTCGTATGACTATGATTGCCAGATCGATGGAGAGACTTGTGCAAGTTTTATACCCATACGAGCACCTATGCCGAAGCGCTTATGTATACTCATAAATACACGTTGCCTGGTCACTACATTCAACCCCTACCATTCAACCCCCTTGCATATACAAATGTCACTCCACACGCACACTCACTCAAATATATACGCACACATACACATGCACTCGCCTGAACAGTGAATACTTAAGCGTAAATTGCTTTAAGTGTTAAAAGCACTCACAATTAGATGAGTACAGGCACACAAAATCGTTACAGAGCAGTGTCGTAAGCAACGCACAGGCTCGAAAGTTCTCGAGCGGCGATTTACAAGGCGCATAAGACGCACACACTCAAGAGCATTTATATGTGTGTAACTGTGTACATACTTGACTTCGTGTACACAACTGCATCGGTACATCCCCAGAAACAGAAACGCATCTCGTGGCACAAATACACGCACAGACACGCAGAATACATAGGTATACGTAAAACACATTTGTGTACACAAATATGAACACATTTTTTTAGAATAGCACCGTCAGTCAGATTTTGTCAATATACTCGAATAGAGTAGGTTCAGAGCCTCGGTTCAGAGTGAGTTAGAGAGAGTTAGTGACTCGTCTTTACTACCCTATATTAGGCTATAGAATTGGGCTGGAATATTAAAAAATAATAATACATAACCCATTTGCGATACTGATCGCTGTAGCGTGTGCACATTAAAGCTAAATAACGGCATGAATTACCCATTACCGTGTCTCACGAATTGATTTAAAATTCGAAAAAATAGAAGGTTTCCCATGTTCTACTAACCTTCTGAAACCGGAAGTCTGAGAAGACGAATCACTGAAGTCTGAAGGCAGAAAAGAGTGGCAAGTGTATGCAACCATTTTTTCAGCGTGTGCAAGACTACGTTTATTATTCCCCCAGCAGAGTGCAGAGTGCAAACCCTCACAAGATGTCCGGTGTCCACATAACCTTATTTTATATTTGTTCAATCTGCAGCAGATCAATTGTCGAGTTTCAACTGGTCAAAACCAACCAATCAACACACTGCGTATCGAATATTTGCAAGATTGCGTAAACGTGCCGCTGTGTCATTCTTCGTGATAAAATGAAACAAGACATTTTGTAATTTTATTTACTTCAGAGTACAGTCTCCGTATCCCGTCTGTATATTTACATAATTACACACAAAATAGAATAAATCAGTTCACACTCTGGTCAGTTGTCACTCTGACATGAATGTTTGAAATCCACATATCAATCGACCTCCTTCTGTGTGATGAACTCTGACCTCACAGTCTTACACTGTGAGGCTCACAGTCTGAAAATAGTCTGAACTCTCTCTCCCACCAGTGTGACCCAGACCGCTGACAGTACTGACGCTCTCAAAAGCTCAAGACTCACAAGGTCTCAGTCTCAGACTCTCAGACTCTCAGACTCTCAAACTCTCACTCTCAGTCTCTCAGTCTCTCTGTCTCTCTCTCTCTCGGTAGACTCAAGTGTCAAGAGTCAAGAGTCAAGACTGTCGAATTGTCGATTGTAGAGTACTTTGTTTTTATTGAAAATATAATATATAAAAACTAAATTATAGACAGATTCTATTTTTACAAAAAGAATATGTATAAAAAAAATTACATAGTCAATTTTATATATATTTATTGTATTTTTAAAATATTTTGGTTTTATTGTTGTCGTCATGCACTTTGTAAAAAACAATTTCGTTTTAGAAAACTAAAAGTGTATATAAATACATACATATTACACAAATACTGTATTTACATACATACATACTGTATTATATTTTATATTATATGATAAAAAAAAGGGGGGGCTATGTGTACATAGTAACATACAACATATATGCTAGTTTTTAAAAAACCCCTCCAAAATTTAGAAAGTATTTATTATTTTCAATGATAATTTTGATTTTGTTTTGGTAAAACAACAAAAATAATACATTATCGTATTTGTTTTTTTTTTTGTTGCATATCTACACTATTTATCATATCTATTTATAGAATTCTTGTTTTTTTATTTAAATAGTATAGAGTGTATTTTTCTCTGTCTCATCTACTCGATAGTTTTATCAAATTACAGTTATTTTTGTATGTTTACCGTTTCAAAAATCATGAAGCTGTAGTCAAGGTGATATTTTGCGACAACAGGTTTTTTAATTCTCAGATACATACTAAAATTGTATGAAGCTGGTTCGCGATATTCTCAAAAGACCATAAATTCTATCAATTGGTCTATCCAAACCTGGTCTGAGGTTTAAGAAATATAGAACATGTATTTTTTTTAAAGTATGTACTGTTATGAAATCAATGTGAAAAATGATTCTTTTAGGGGGTTATGGAAAAAAACCAATAAAAAAAAGTACATTTTGGTTCAGACCTAATTATTGGACGTTTAAATTTTTTATAAGGACCATTCAGAGTTTCAAACAGTGAAATATTCACCATACCAACGAATGTAATACATCAAAACGACCACAAGGCAGAACGGTGAACAACACCATAGTGAGTTTTAGTGACCATACCAGCGAATAGTCGAATACTGAATAGTCGAATACACACACAAGAGTATACAACACATCAAAATTCAAATTCAAAACGACATCATTTTGTTGATTTGAAATTTGAACACACGAAAACAATTAACTCAGGAAGTCTGGCTCCAATGAAGAAAATTAAAGTATTCTATAGAAAACGGCTTTTGCCCTTTATTTACTCCTGAAGTTCTGGACTCTGGTATTAGGGCGGCTTGGGGCCGTCTTGGGCGCGTGGGTCATTGCCCGCTGGCTGTGTGGTGGCTGTACACTGGACGAAGGACGGTGGACTCTTGGAGCTATAGTATACTATAAATAAGGACGAAAAGTCGAAAACTTTTTCTAAATTGCACCTTTAAATATGACTTCATGAGTACTGATGAGGCTCATAGCATACAAAGTCTCAAAGCTTTCCCACTTGTCCGTGCGCTCGTAAGGTTCATATTTAAAAGTTTAACTTAGGCGTCGGCGGTCGGGTGTAGAGTATGTACTACTACTGGGTACAGGGGTTCAGGAGCTTTTTGAGACTTTCAGACTTGTAGTGAAGATTGTGAATGTGAGTGTTTTGTTTTATTGAAAACAATATTTAAAGAAAAAGTATGGAATTGGTTTTTCTATAAAAATACTAGTAGAAAAAGGACAAGTCAATACCTTACCCCACCAGTCCATTTTTATCGATTAAGATACCGAAGGCGGTAAAGAAAGTGGAGCTCTATTATTAGAGAGACTGGAGAGACCTAACTCTAATATTCTTAGGACACATTAGTACACGCATAGGTATTAGGGTTTAGGGTTGAGTTTTTTAGAGATATCTTTTTTTAAATTAGACCATAGGGCATAGAGTGCCACAGCAGAACTTTATCTACAAGAGACATAGCAATGGAGGGAGCTACTATATTTGTCCTAACTCTGAGTTGAACCCATAATTATGGAGTTTTTGTTGTTCGATCTGTGCACTTTGAGTGATAAAGGAGTTGTTCGATCTGTAGATTTTTAGGGACTAAAGGAGTTCTGGAACTTCTGCTGGGTTATTGTTAAATTTCAGAATTTGTAATTTTCTCTCGAATCTCGATTGTTGAAGACTCTCATGGTGAATGAGGTAATAAACGCGTCATTCAGTATCCTAAAATCCTAAATCTAATGTCAAATACATAAATATGTGTTTATGGGACATTTGGACACAGACATGAGACATGAAGAGAATATGAGTCCTTTGGGACTCTGTTTGGGACCTGTTTAGTGTTTGGGACTCTCGACCTCAGTCAGCTGAGTAGCTGAATAGTTCTGTAGTGAATTAGTGACACTTCTAGTAGTAGTAGTGAGGACTGAGGACTGAGGACTGAGGACTGAGGACTGAGGACTGGAGAGTGGTGCTGGGCTGCTGACGTCTGCACTCTGCCCATCTGCCGTGGGCGAAAATACAATCTGATGCCGTTTTGACTTTTGGCTTTGAAGTATGATGAGTGTTGTAATTTTGTGTCTTTTTACAAAAAATAAGAAAGGAAAATTGGATGATAGGACGGACAGGTGCTGGATTGTTTGACTGTTTTGGTAGAGAGTCGAGAGTCGAGTGTTGAGACTCTAGGACAGTTTATTACAGTATTTTTATAGCTGTGTAATGTAATTATCGGGAGCTGTATTATGTAATTATAGGGTTCAACCTATAGCGAGAGGAATCAGAGGACTATAGATACTATTTATTTTTGAAAAACAAATAGTCTACAGAGTATAGAGAGAGCAGTAGGAGTTAAAAAAAAACAAAAATATATAAATAGGTCATTCTCGCGACTCTTTGGTTCTTTAACTGGGGACGTGTGGGACTGTGACTGTATGTGGGACTGTGGGTTTCTAGTTTTGACTTTCGAGAGTCGGAGGCCGGAGGGACGCATCACTCTCTTCTCGCATCATTCGTAACGCCGAAAAGAAAAAAATCCCACAATTTTTACAAAAACAAATTTAAACGATAGAAACAACCACGAAATTCTGCCCAGCAAATGAATATATTTTAATGGGAGAGTGTATTTCGAAAAAATAGAGAAAAAAATATTGTGTGAGAAATTTTCGGTCCACGATAGTGCGGACGCAGTCCAAGGTCAACAGGCCATAGCACAAAATCAAATAATATTATGCTGGCTGATTGTTTAGTAGTTGTTGAGAGGTGAAATGAGGATATCAAATAACTATATACTCTATGCGCAGGGAAAGTGGCCTTGTTAAAAGTACACGCGTGGCCATGGTGAGTACGGTCCAGCTTGAGTAAGAATATTATTTGTATTTAGTAGTATGTCTTCTTAGTTCCCTTCCCTATGAACTAAGCACAGTGTGGCAATTAAGATTAGCGGGTTCAGGTTGTTGTAGGTTGCGGTCTACTGATTGTACCTAGCTCAATTCTTAACCAAGTCAAAGGAAAAGAAGCAATATGCGCTCCTTTACCTTACCCTACCGACAGTTTCGATACTCATCTGACAATAGTCTAAGTATGTTCGATGATGTGAAGACCATTTTAAGCGATCAATACGCAAGCGATAAAAAAACTTGTCGTCAGAGCGTTTCCAAAATATCATCGTATGACCTCATAGACACCAATCGGTTGCCAGGCGAAGAATGTCCGTCCAGGTTAGATACACACAGGATTACAGTGAGGTTTTCACCGTCTGTACGTGTTCTGCACTATGATCATACGCTTCCTACAATAACCTGCTCTCATGTTCAGAATTGCTGGGGGTATGATACTTGCGGATCTGGGTCAGACGACACCAGCTGTAGTGTGAGTAGGCATAGTAGCTGTGCCGGCTCTGCCTCGGAAGATGAATTTGCCGAGTGCAACTGTACTACGAATGATCGATGTCTAACCAAAAGCACGTTTGAAGCCGTGCTAAAGACGAGTCAACTCAAGACTAATGATATACATAGAAGCATAACTTCAACAGAAATATTAAGGCAGAATCGACGCAATTTGTGCGAGGGAGTGGTCTTCCCCACGCATATTGCCACATGTAGTGAAAATGTGCCACCCGAAGACAGTTCTGATTCGGATAGTGACAGTTTTCCCAAGGTGCAAGATATCACAGATGGGACTGAGTTCGTACTTAAACGAAGTCGAAGTCCAATGTATAGTACTGGCAGCAGCGAGAGCTTTTACAACAATGCAGAGACATTGAAGCCTGTGCAGGTGATGCACTGCAGATACGTGCGCAATAGACGCGCAGTTGTGGTGAATGCGCGTATTAATACACAGAACTGTCACGGAGTGGACATGAGTAAGCCGGCCAGCTCACGCTCGGTTATAGTACGGTATACTCTGGACAACTGGAACACGTACGAGGATACGCTACCCGGAGTGGTGATCATCAACTCACAGGTACATACAACATATAAAATAGTGATTCCGATCAATGAAAGAGCTTCTTGCATAGGTGCAAGCGTCAAGTTCGCCATGTGTTTGCAGGCGAGTCCCACACTTGCGTTCTGGGATAACAACAACGGGGGAAACTTTGAGGTCACGGTACCTGCCCCGCAGACGTCCAACGATCCATAGAGGGGGAGTCAGTGCGTGTAACCATGGTGACCTGTTTGAGCATTTGATATGCTCGCAGATAGCTTTGGCACGGTAATCATTCGTTATCATAAGCCCACTATCGCGCTTCATAGAACTGAGCCCAACTATCTCCAATTGTCATCGAGCCTTGGGCCTTCTAATAGGCCTTCTAGGAGAAACTGCGACAAGAGTTAGAGACCATGTCCAGCTGATCTTGCGCGAAATGGTATCGTGAGTTGCGGGGGCACTATTTACCTACATTCCGGCGAACACTGCCGGAGTAGTAGCACAGGTTTTCCAGATGCTCCAACGCATGCAAGCAAAACAACCGGCTCAACTACAGATGTTGACAAGCAATCAACAAAATATTAAGCTCAACTACAGAGTTGACGATCAAATAATTACCAAACCCATTACATGTTTTCAATACCGACTCACGTCTGCGTTTATTTTTTTAAGCGGCTGGTGTGTGTCTGGGTGGTCAAAGGGCCACAGATACTTGTTCACGCCTGGAAGTGGACTACATTCCGTACCGAAGTCTCTAGAGCGAAGCACGCCTGACTTACAGGGTACTCACCCAGCTTCCGACACGGACGACTAGAGCAAGCAATCTGTAATAAATTATACATCGCCGCAAGGGGTTCATACCAAAATATTTGTTGACACTTTTAATTGATTGTAATCACAGTCACACTTGAGGTTGCTAGGTTAGTTTGTCGTCATTGAGTAGCGAGAATTCACCGCTAGTAAAAGTCGTTCCTGGCGTGTAACTGCGTTGCCGATTTGATCTAAGTACATTTGTGGCTGCATTCCGCATCAATCACAGGGCATTAGGATAGAGCTGCCGTCTATGTAGAGTTGCCGACTATGAGTTACTAGTACTATCCTGCAGAGTGCTCTGTACAATGTCGCATGAGTGTGTAACAATTACTTGTGTTGATATAAACCTGGCGCATATGTACCGAGATTGACCCAATAAATGACATGGTGACTGGCCCTGAGGTCTAACTGAAGTTGCATAAACTGAATGGTCTGCACTGCGAGTACAGAGTCAAGGAGGTCAGATAGCCACAGGAATAGTAAATATGATTTACGTATCAGGCGTACTCAACTCTCTAACAAACGGTTGGGATTTAAAAGTACCTACAAAGTGTAGTGTACAAGCCTTATATAACTACAAATGGACAAAAGTCGTGATGCGACACGGTATCGCTTCGTATTGTACGGCTGTGTTCACTGGCGCTGAATAGAATTCGTATCTGCTTTGAACAGTTGAACTGGAGTTTTAGAAGGATTTGAATTGACTGATGATGACTAGTAATGCCATAAGTATGTATGATAGCAAGATACTAACTAACTTACAAGTTAATAGAACTTATACATGTTTTGCGGAATCAAACGGGAGTATAATATTTGTATGGTGATCTGTGCTGCAGGAAAGAGTATATATGTAAGTTGATAGAACTCTTGTAAAATGCGCATTCACATATACATATTTTGTGGGATCAAGCGGGAGTATAATATTTGCATGGTGATCTGTGCTGCAGGAAAGTGTCTATGTGTTTATGTATATCTAACAACTTGTACAAAAATATGTGTATACACAAGCATACATCAACACACACAAACAGATAAAATTTTATACACACAATATATATATATATATATATATATATATATACACACTATACTATACTATACTATACATACAATAATATATATATATATATATATATATATATATA